ATCTGCAATTTTCAGCTCCTATCTATCATTCAGGATGCAGAGACATGAAGTTCCCTGCAAGTTTGAGGCTAGCCTGGTCTACCATAGCAAGTTCTAGGCCAACCAGGCAAAACCCTGTCTCTAAAACAAAACAACAATTAAAAGGCTACAGAGATAGCCCCATTGGTAAACTGCTTGTCACACAAGCATGAGGACTAGAGTCTCAACCCTAGTTGAACATAAAAAGGAAAATACAGCTGGTGCATCTGTGGTGCAGAGAAAGGATGCTCCTTGACCAGCCAGGAGAGCTGAGCCAGTGAACTGTGCAAGCGCACGTGCGTACACACACACACTCGAACATGCATGCAAGCACACATATATACGCACAAAACAACACTTTAAATGAATGTTTAGGGAATTTGGTAATAGACTTTATCAGTTTAATGATCTATTTTATTTTGTGTGCATTGGTGTTTTGCCTGCATGCATATCTGTGTGAGGTTGTCAGGTCCTCTGGTACCAGAGTTGCTGTGAGCTGCCATATGGGTGCTGGGAACTGAACAGCACTCAGCCACTGTGCCATCTCTCCAGGCCCGAACTTATCACATTTTAAAAGGTAAGGTACAGACTACATGACTAAACAATAATGTAACAATGATGATCCTAAATATTAGAAAATTATATAAAAATAAACAAAATCAGAATTTGTTCTGACTCTAAAGGAAGAACAAAACCACTTAGAATAAAACAAATTGCTTGAAAATTTGTCAATAAGTAAATTTCTCAAAACTAGCAATATGGCTCCGTGGGTAGAAATGCTTGCTGCACAAACCTCATGACCTGATTTCCATATATGGAACCCACCCACAGCAGAAGGAGAGAACTAACTCTTAAGGCTGTCCTCTATTTGAAAGACAGCAGGGACAGGTTTGGAGGGAGGATAAAGGGAAAAATATAGCATAATCTCAAAAGGGAAAGATACAATATAATCCCAAAAATAAAGGGGGAAAAAAAGAAAAATAAATGTTTAAAAAGAAGTTGTCCTCTGTGACCACGACAGCATCTGTACTAACTCACACAGAGAGACAGTAGGTACAAATACTACTAAGAAATACTACTAAACTATTGAAAGAATAAGCCAATTCTGGACTGGAAAGATGGTTCAGCAGTTAAGAGTACTAGCTGCTCTTACAAAGAACCTGGGATCAATTCCCAGCACCCACATGGTGGCTCACAACCATCTGTAACTTCAGTCCCAGGTCATCTGACCCCCTCCCCTAGCCTTTTAAGCATTACATGAGTATTGTATACAGGCATACAGGCAGGCAAAACACCCAAACATACAAAATAAATTAATTTAATTTAAAAATAAAGCCAAGTCTATCCTTACAAAGAAAATACTGACACAAACTACAATACAGATAAGCTCAAGTTAGCCAGGCACCAAGGTTAAACCTATGATACCATTCATATGAGGTATGTGATGGGGTCAAACTTAGAGGCAAGAGTGAGGGGCGCAGGGGCACAAAGCTCAGTTGGGGACGTGAGAAAGTTCCAGAGGTGAAAGACAGTTGACAGCTGAACAACGATATTGTACTTAATGTACATTTGAATTAATGCCTTCAAAATTGACAAAACATTTTTTTTTTGGTATATTTCAATTGAGTAGTAAAGTCAACTGTACTAACTTACCTTTTTGTGTGCTGTTCTCTTCTGTTTTACTCAAAGGTAGCCTTGGAACTAGAGCATCTTCAGAAAAATCCTTTGGGTAGAAAAGAAAGAGTAAGACTGAGTGAGCCTTACAGTTACCACCAATGAAGTAACACTGATTGCCATTTGACCACTGTGGTCTAGAAGGCAAGTCTGCACACTTTATCTTACTCCCAACACTACATGGTTCATAAGTCCTCAGAAGCCACTCAAAGATTTCTCAGTGATAGCAGACTGGTGAATGAGAACGTGAACAAGCAAACAGAAACAGCACAAGCTTCTGATTCAGATCTACATCTGAACATCTCAGGTGCTTCAGCTCAATGTGAAAACTGACTCAAGGAGGAGTCAAATGAAAGAAGACAGCATGGTCATTTAATAGTGCAACAGGATCAACTAACCATGGCTTTCATAGTCGCTGAGCTCACGATGTCTTAGAAAGTTCTACTGTGTAGGTCTTGTCTACTTTTCAACAGCTTTCCGCTCCTGTGTGCAACGCTAGAACTCACTGCTAAGACTATTCAGTGCTGAGTGAGACTCCTGACCTCTTACGGCACTGGGGGGATTCCAAGTGGCTTTTCACCTTGCTTTTTTCTGCTAAAGCATTAAAGGGAGGAAATAAGCCTGGCTGGGGAGATGGCTCAGGAGTTAAAGCACTTGCCTCATGAGCATGAGGACCAAAGCTGGGATCCCCAGAACCAAAGTGAATGTTGGAAGAATCTGCCTCTAACTCCTTACCCCTACACCTACACACACACACACACACACACACACACACACACACACACACACACACACACACGGAAAAAAACTTATTTTAAAAAGTATGACGACAGGTGTTAATTTTCTAAACACCAATTAAGATTATTGGTACAATAGGCACATTTATCGGCCCACACTCTTCAAGGCACAGTCTATAAAACATTTCTTGAGCTGGTAAGACAGCTCAACAGAGGAAGGCATTTACTACCAAGACTGATAACTCAAATTTGACTACTGGGACTCACAAGATAGGAGAGAATGAACTCTTGAAAGTTGTTCTCTGACCTCCACACACAAAAATGGCCTGTGTATACCCACATAACATGTATGTTCCAGGCAGTGGTGGCTCACACCTTTAATCGCAGTACTCAGGAGGCAGAGGCAAGTGGGTCTCTGTGAGTTTTGAGCATGGTCTACAAAGCTACACAGAGAAACCCTGCCTAGAAAACCCCAAAATAAATAAATAAAGTAGCTATATGTACACAAAATAAACAGGATAAAAAATAATAAAATGGGGGCTGGAGAGGTGGCTCAGAGGTTAAGAGCACTGACTGCTCTTCCAGGGGTCCTGAGTTCAATTCCCAGCAACCACATGGTGGCTCACAACCATCTACAATTTAATCTGTCTGGTGCCCTCTTCTGACATGTAGGCAGAACACTGTATATGTAATAAATAAATAAATCTTAAAAAAAAACTCTAAAAATAATAATAAAATCAACAAATGAAAAACAAAACATTTCTCTTCTTATGGGGTACCTAAGTAAAACATGTTGCTAACAAAATGTAACTTTAACAAAACATAACATAATCCTGAAGTTTTAATACAACTCAGAATTCTTTTACTTACACTTTTATTGGATACAGTGGGATTTTCTGACAGAAGTTGGTGATGTTTTCTAGCAGAAGTTAAATCCAATGAACCTAAGAAAACAAAGGAATCAATGACTAATGTTTTGTTGTTTTTACTACGGACTGAACCCAAGACCTCTCTCATGGTAAACTCTAGCACTGAGTCACAGGTCCAATCTGAGTCCCAACATTTAGGAGGCAGATTTCTGTGAGTTCAAGGCCAGCCAGGTCTACAGAGCAAGTTCCAGGACTGCCTCCAAAGCAATACAGAGAAACCCTGTCTCAAAAAAAACCAAAAATAAATAAATAGATAGTCAGTACAGTCTCACAGCCCTAAACAAGGCAGGTGACTTGTAAAGACAGAAGCCACCAAAGACTGGAGCTATGCATTTCTCCTACGCCAGATTGGATAGCACTATTGGGAAAGTAGAACATTTGGTAACTATTATTGAGCAGTCACTGTATCCATCTTGGGTGTGAACAAGAACTGGATGCAGAGACCACACCAAGAAGCAGTACAACAGGAAGCATTTAAGTTTCATTCATTCTACATACATGTCATTTCCCAGGGAACCAAGTTACTTTTCAAACATCCGTACAAACCAGATTTGTATCTTACACCTGAGAGCGTAAACACTCACTCCTCTAAATTTTGGGGCTACCATAATCCAAACTAGATAGGAAAATAAAGAGTAACGATTTACAAAAACACAAATTGGGTGGAATACTGCAACATTTGGAACCACATACCATAGGACGTTCCATTTGGGCTAGTCGTCATTCCAACAGCAAGACGTTTATTTGCTGACAATGCTGGAGGAACGCGGGGCAGCTCATCTTCCACCACAGCCGAGTTACCTCCTTGGTTTGGGGAAACGACCTCTCGCAGCCTCCTCGCTGGCATTTTAACCCTTATCCCCCTTTCCAAGCTAAACTCAAAGTTTTTCATATGGCTAGTCACAAAACAAGCCCCGCGGTTCTTCACAGAGGGACTTTCTTCTGGGTTCATAGACTTAAGGACAGTTTCACCTCTTTGGAAAAGAAGCAAGGGTGGAAATGGATTTGATAAGGAATATCGAAATTCCAAAAGTGACTATGAAGCAGCCCTTAACTTAAAAAAAAAAAAATCTAGACTACATATCCACAAAGCGGAGAATTTCAATTTTAACCTGTAATCCAGGACTACGTAAAACCAGCATGTCTTATGTACCTATCAATCCCAGCGAGCCTGTTAATGCGCCCAGGCAATAACCCTGGAAGGAACCGTGCAAGGGAAGACCCTACGGGAACTGTACGAACAGAGCACCCGCCAAACCCGGGGCGGCCGCTGAAACCCAAACAGACGTGGAGGCGGGGTTCAGACTGGCTGCAGGGACCCAGCCGAGCGGGGGACGTTAGTTACAGTCCTGTCTGTAGAACATCACCCTCATACGAGCTTGATAGCTGTCTCCATGCGGGCCCAGACAGTTTCGGACACCCCGATCTAGTCGACTTAGCACACAGAGGCCCGCAAACACGCCGTGGCGTCTAGGAACACAACAGCAGCTTCGGTTGTTCGCGGCGGATCAACACCCTCTTGCCCCGAAACTCGCCCTGCAGACTCAGCACGCATGCGCTAAACAGCCACCCCGCCCGCCGGAAGAGAGCGCTCCGGAGCAGTCTGGTGCTCTTCGGTTCGTGTCCGGGCGGAAACAAACCCCGAAACGTAAAAGACTTCAAAGAGATGTGACTTTATTATTTTTATTTTAAAAACAGTATACCGCGTTTATTTTTGGACACGATAATCTCTCTTCCTCGAGGATTGAAGGGCTTTCGATCCGCTCATAAACACCACTTTCGTTGATTAAGAGTTACTTACAATGTCTTAGCTGTAGACCGTTACAGACCTAGGTGGTTAAGTATATTAGGTTTCCTAGTAAGCTCGACAGATTCGGTTGCCGTGGAAAAGGAAATGAACAATATAGACAGCTGTCTAACAGGTATCCACAAGAGTTAATTCTCAGACGATTTTTAGAATTCACTTGGGACGCTGGCTTTCCCGCCTACAATTTCCCAGGTGTAACGAATCTGCGTCACAGGGTCTACGCTCTCCTTGACATCACTGCCCCCACGTGCGCGGCGCGGCGCCCTCTTTATAGTGACCCTGCGCTCTCGGACTCTACCCTCTCCGCAGCCGTTCAGCTCGTTCCCGGGGTCGGACGCGAGAGCCGGTGGCTAGGTATGGTCGCTTTCCTCTGCCCTGAGCATCCCGGGTTCGCGGGCGGTGGGCGGTAGGCTTCGCTGGGGAAGTGGCGGGCAGCTACGCCGGAGGCAGCCGCCGCGTGCATGCGGGGCGTGGGGCTGCGCCACCGGCTGCGCGGCGGGAGGCCAGACCACCCCGGGGGCCTTGTCACCGTCTGCCCGGACTGGAGGGCTCCGGGCTCGCTTTGGGGCTGCAGGGTATCCACTCGGTGACCTTGAGCTGTCAGACAGGAGCCCCTTTCCTGAAAATCTCGGGGCATCTCGGCTCGCACCCTGTCTAGAATACATGGGCTCGCACCCTTTCCTGGTCTCATTTTGGAGGACGCTCTGGTTAGAGCTTCCCCATCGCGCCTTGCTAGAGGCTTTAAAGGTAGATTAAGTAAAGTCAAGACACTGTAAGATGTAAGCGTAAGTAACCCATTTTAACTCTTGTATTTCAGCTGTGAACGTTCCTTCGAGCCTAGAGTAAAAAAAAAAAAAGTCTCACCTTTAGAGAACCTGTTATTTTATTTTTGTTGCTACTTAATGAGTTTTGTGATTAATCTTTTCTTTATGTTACATTTTCTCTCTTGTTGTCCCTTAGGTTTAATATGTTGGTTCACGATTGTATAAATGTGTTAGAAGATAGATTGACAATGACAGATCTCTTCCCTTAAGTTTAATATGTTAGTTCACAATTGTATAAGTGTATTAAAAGACAGAATGACAGTGTCAGATCTGCAAGAGACCTTAGAGGTTAACTCTCATAATTTTCATATAAACGTTAGATATGAAAAAAAATGACCTTTCCCCTCTAATTTCTTTTTTTTTTTTTTTTTTTGGTTTTTCGAGACAGGGTTTCTCTGTGGCTTTGGAGGCTGTCCTGGAACTCACTTTGTAGACCAGGCTGGTCTCGAACTCACAGTGATCCGCCTGCCTCTGCCTCCCGAGTGCTGGGATTAAAGGCGTGCGCCACCAACGCCCGGCTCTCCTCTAATTTCAAAACGCTCAGCAACGGCAATCAGTAAAATGACTTGAATAAATAATATGAAATGGAATGTCAAACCTGGGGCTAAACCCCAGAGGTCTTGTTCTCATCTTCCAGTATTCAGGATTCCTATCTTGAGGCCAAGCTTTGGATCGGGAAAATAGTATGAATTCTTTTTCAAGTGCTTTAAGTTCCTTTTCACACTGAATTAAGAGTTGTCTGCTATTCATGATGGGTGTGATGGCAACCTTTGATCTCCCGCGCCCAGGAGGCAGAGGGAGGCTGAGGAAGGCTGAGGGAGGCAGAGGAAGGCTGATCTGAGTTCCAGGACAGCCAAGGCTATACAGAGAAACCCTGTCTCAAATAAGTAAACAATCAAATTGCCTATTAATCTCACAATTTATCTAACTAAACCTGCAAATCTAAAGAGTCTGTGGAAAATTACTTAAACGCACTTTCTTACCCCCCTCTCCTCCCCTCCCCTTTTCCCTTCCCTTCTCACCCCCTCTCCTCCTTTTTCACCCCTCCCTGTATACATTTATAGATAGACTGTTCCACTGAAGCTTTTGGAAACAGGTTTCAGACATCGTGAGCTTTAGCCTTATTTCTTTCAGTCTGTGCCTCCTTAAGGACGTTACAGTCTAAGAAGATTGTCACATGTAAGCTGACATTTAGATTTTCTTATCTAAAAAGTGCCCTTACTGTTAGACTAGGGACCCGCTGCCTTATGCCCTTCAAAGGGCAGATCCCACAGCTGGAAGTGATAGTCACCCACCCCACCCATCTCCCTGTGAGACTCTCCGTCTCACTGTGTAGCCCTGACTGGAACTCAAAGAGCCAATCCCAAGTGAGCCACCACGACGTCAGGGCCCACTTTCTTAATTGACCTCATCTCTGAAGGGAATTGTGTGTCAGCTTTCTTCTCAGGGACTGACTGACTCCCCAAAAAGACCATCTTTCCTGATTGAGAATGCAGTCAAGGTTCACACATTATGCTTAACTTCGTGACTCTTAATATCTCAACCCACAGGAGCTACTCACTCTTCACAACATTTTTGAAATTAAGATTTCTTTGTAGCCGGGCGGTGGTGGCGCATGCCTTTAATCTCAGCACTCGGGAGGCAGAGGCAGGCAGATCTCTGAGTTCGAGGCCGGGCTGGACAGACAGCCTCCAAAACAATACAGAGAAACCCTGTCTCGTAAAAAAAAAAAAAACACAAAGCAATGAAAAGAGACAAGTTTCTTTCATAAGTAACTTATAGAAATGCATGAAGACCATAGGTATATCCTGTTCCCTAGCATGTCCCTTGGTTTTGTTCATTCATGGCATTGACTGAACCCCAAAGGTTGTGAAGCACATTACCTGTTCTTCAGGGATGAGGAACAATTATTGTAGCCAAGGATAGCAGAAGACTCACTTGTAAATTGAATTTAAGCCATATTAAGATTTAGTTCCAGAGTTGGTACAAATGTGTGTATGATTTACGAAGAAATAAAATAACCATCTCCTTATTGTGCCCTTGTTAATTACTTTTCTTTTTTGTTTGTTTTGTTTTTCAAGACAGGATTTCTCTGTGTAGTGTCGTAGTACTCACTCTGTAGGCTGACTTTGAACTCAGAAATCCACCTACCTCTGCCTCCAGAGAGCTAAAGGCCCAAGTGCTTTAGTCCCAAGGACTAAAGTCATGCACTACTTTGCATGACTTATTAACTACTTTTCAGTATTAAATTTCTGGAAATTGCAAAATGAAGAAATAAATTTCAGAGGGCTTGGTCACTCTCTTGATCTCCAAAAAATGAATTTCTTTTCTGAGAAGGAAATTAAGTTAGGGAAAACATGGTATATTAGAGAAGTAACAAGCTGGGCATGGTGGTACATACCTGTACTCGACGCTATGACTATCCCAAGTTCAAGTCCAGTCTGGGCTACATAGAACATTCTAGGACATGTGAGACCATGTCTCAAAAAGCATAACACAATTAATTATAGACATACTTAATAAATGTGAAGATAAAGTCAAAATCAAAAGAGCTTATAACACTGGGCTATTTGGACAATATGTAGTTTTATTGGATGTGTCATTCAGGCATTAGAAAGTAATGGGAGAAATCCTGGGTTTTACAGTAGTCTGAATGCCTTGGGTGATCCCAGTTCTAGTTAGTTAATCTGAAAGTGAATTTAGTGTTTGAACTGTTATCTTTCTTAGAGTTATAAGAATTAGAAGAAAAGTTTAAGGTTAGCATGACATTGTTTCTTTTTAAAATATGCTGACGAACAAAAAACTTGAGACTTACTTAGCTTAATAAAAAGGTAAAGGGGCTGGAGATGTAACTCAGTGATGGGACACTTGCTAGCTAGCATGCACAATGCTTTGGTTTGACTATGCCCACAAGGGAAAACCTGATTGAGCCCATCATTCAGTCTGATAATAAAAATGAGGCTTTAAATTAAATTAGCTGTAGGGTGTGTGGTGCACACCTTTGATTCCAGCATTCACATAGTGGAGCGAGAAAACCAACACTCACACTTTTGTATACACTAAGATAAATGAAGGCAAGCTTAAAAATATTTTTAAGCCATGTAGCAGCTGAGCAGGTAAAGGTGTTTGCTGCACTAGGGGAACAGAAGCAGGCAGGTCTCTGAATACAAGGCTAGCCTGGTGTACATTGAGAGACTTTATCTCAAAAACAAAACCAAACAATATTAGCCAACAGAAATTCAGGTTTCCTTAAAAAGAAGAACCTTCTGCAGTCATATAATGAATGCATTCAATTTTCAGGGAAGAAACCCAGCCTCACTGAAGACATTCAAGCAAAAGGCGGGGCAGTTGCTTTTCCTGAGCAGAAAGGAAACTCATGCATCAGAAAAGGTTTGCACTTGATGGGCCATAAGTTCTACCTTTACTCTTAAGTTCTCTACTTCTATGAGATATTGTTAGCCATAAAACTAACACTGTTCTCAGACCTAAGTAAAAGCTGTCCACTCTCTCAAATTACAGAGGGATAACTAGAAAATAACCCTGTGTTAGTATTTGCTTCTACAATAACAAGCCATTTGAAGTAATCTCTGGAAATCAAGATTAAATAAAGAATAAACAGGTGGTGGTGGTGGCGCTTGCCTTTGATCCCAGCACTCAGGCAGAGGCAGGCAGATTTGAGTTCAAGAACAGCCTGGTCTACAGAGTGAGTTCTAGGACAGGCTCCAAAGCTACACAAAGAAAATCTCTCTCTAAGTAACCAAAAAACAAAACAAAAAAGCATGTCTCATCAGTTAAGAGCACTTACAGCACTTCAGAGGACTGGAGTTCGGTTCTCAGTACTCTTGTCAGGCAATTCACACATTCCTGTAATTCCAGCTCCATGGGCTCTCACACCCTCTTCTCGCCTCTAGAGGCACCTGTACTCACATGCATATGTACACACACAAGCACACACAATGAAGAAGAGCTTGTTAATGACATATTAAGAGACATTAACAAAATCACTTAGTTGGGCAGGGTGGAATGCCTGTAATCCTAGACTTGGGGCGTATGGGTAGGAGGATCAGGAGTTCAAAGTTATCCTTGGCTACAAAACAAGTTAGAGGAGAGCCTAGACTACAGGAGACCTATAGTCACCAGTTGTAACAGGATTGGGACATCCCAGTATACCAATCCTAAATCATGCCACTCACCTGTTGCTGAAAAAGTCAAGAATTTTAACCTGAAGAAACACAGGTTAGACATAGGGAAAAGAACTGGATTTGGGGATTATTAGTTATTATATAAGTTTCTAAGGACCTATAGGTAAGGAAATCAGATGTGCTGTTTTCAGTTTGAACTGTAGGGCAGTGTGTTGATGCATGTTTCAGTCTTGATTTTTCGTTTTGTTTTTCAGAACAGGGTTTCTCTGTAGCTTTGGAGGCTGTCCTGGAAATCGCTCTGTAGGCCAAGCTGGCCTTGAATTCTCATTTTCGAATTTTAAAGTTCCCATTAATAGTAGCTTTGCAAGTTATATTACCAAATCTTAGGACTCTCCAGGATACTTAAAAAATTCTGCCACATGTATGCAAGTGCCCTTGGCAGCCAGAAGAGGGCACCGGATTCTCTGGAGCTGAGCTCCAGGTGCCTGTGAGCAGCCTTACGGCATGGATGTTGGGAACTGCACTCTAGTCACTTGGAAGAGCAGCTAGCACTCTTGGCTTTGGAGCATTCCTCTAGCCCCTTTATTCTGAGATTCTTCCTGGCTCACATAAAGTTGTGACATTAGAGATCACAGATGTCCTTACCCAGCTTTGCACAAGAGTAACATCCAGAAAGCTAGAGTGCGGTGTCTCGTGGAGGATACAGGTGCCAATACAGTCAAGATACAGTGCATTTCTATTTCATAGGTTTCCCGTGTGCCAACACCCACTCTTCTGCCCCCTTCCTTCTATAGCCTATTGCAACTACTACTATGGTCTTCATTCATGTAATTGTCATTCCAAGATTGTTGCAGCCAGGCATGGTGGTGCATGCCTTTAATCCCAGAACTCGGTTAGAAATAGGGGGAATCTCTGAGTTTGAGGCCAGCCTGCTCTACATAGTGAGTTCCCATCCAATCAGCACTACATAGTGAGACCCTGTCTCCAAAAAAAGAAAAAAGTCTTTCATAAAGTCATATACTATGTAATCTTTTAGAATTGGCTTTTTTCTTTCTACTGATTATTACTGTGTGAAAGTTTTTAAGCCAGGTAAACTGATCCCTCCCAGTTTGGTCTTGAGTTAACTACTGTAGCCCTTTTACTTAGCATCATCTTACCTCTTGCTGAGGTCTCAGTAAGACTTGCATTAAGTCTGCATATTAGTTTTGGGGAAATGGACATTATATTGAGTCTTTTAGTCTAAATGCTTTTGTTTGTTTTTATTTTTTAAAAAAACTTTCTAGTCGGGTGGTGATGGTGCATGCCTTTAATCCCAGCACTCTGGAGGCAGAGGCAGGTGGATCTCTGTGAGTTGGAGACCAGCCTGGTCTACAAGAGCTAGTTCCAGGACAGCCTCCAAAGCCACAAAGAAACCCTGTCTTGAAAACAAAAAACTTCCTTCCCATATAATATACTTTGATCATTTCACCCTCCAAAACTACTCCCAGATCCTCATCTCCTTAACCCATCCAATTTTTTTTTTTTATTTATTTATTTATTTATTTATTTATTTTTGTCCAACTACTACCTCTCCATTTGGAGGAGGTTTGATGTTTTTCTGTAGTTCTCATGATCTAGATGCATGGTTTTTTGTTTGTTTGTTTGGTGGTTTTTTAGGTCTTAAAGAAATTTATTTAGAACAATTAAATGTTTTCATTTTCACATAACTTCTTAATTGTTTCTTGAGGAATTTCACATCATGCGTCCCATTTCTGCTCATTCCCCAGTCCCTCCATGTCCATCCTTCATGCTTGTAGCACCCTTCCCCGCCAAATTCTTTGCTAAAAAATTAAAGCCAAGCCAACCAAACAAACCACTCTGCTCCTCCATCTTTCTTGCCTCTCCAACACCTCTTCATTCATCTTAGTGGCATTAGGAGCCTTGCCCTATTAGCTTTACTTGCAAATGTTCATTGTTATGCATGTTTTGATAGTTTGACCTCTCAATCTTTCTGGAAGGGAATCACGGCAATTAGTGTTGCCTTTACTAACATTGCACATGTGCTTGTTGCTAGTGTGTAGAAGTGTGGTTTGGTTTTTTTGTGTCACTAAGACCTTGCAGGGCTCCCATATTGGTTCTCAGAGTTCTTTGTGGAGTTTGGGAGTTTGTATCATCTCAGATCCGGATACATCTATGTCTGTGCTGCACTTAGTAATGCTCTTCTTGTACTTCGTAGCAGACATCTTTGTCTACATCCTTTTGCAACAAGTTCCAAGAAACCCTGCCTGGCCTTGAATATCTTAGAAAGCTGATCCTCCTGCCTCCGCTCCACCTCCCAAATACTGGGATTACTTGTAACACTCAGCTGCTTGCTTATATCTTACAAGCAAGTATTGTCTTCCAATGAAAGTGTGGGTTGAATTTTTATCAAGTTTTTTGTATAATTCTCAGCACATGGGAATCCACGGCAGGAGGATATAGGTTTAAGGCAAGCCCAAGCTGCACTGACCTTATCTTGAGAGAAAACAATTATCTCAAGGAAAAACAAAAAGTAATACCTTGCCGGGCATTGGTGGCACACGCCTTTAATCCCAGCACTCGGGAGGCAGAGGCAGGTGGATCTCTGTGAGTTCTAGGACAGCCTCCAAAACAATACAGAGAAACCCTGTCTCAAAAAACAAACAAAAAAACCTTTGGAGGTGTGTAGGAATATAATTTATATTAATGTAGTGTTCATTGAGTCTGCTGTACAAGGTTCATTCACCTGCTTTGAAAGACCTCGGCATCAAAGCGCCAGGCACTGAACCGAACCCTCTGCCCAAGAACCGGGGCCAGACCACTGGCTGCAAATGCAAGAGGTGATTTATTGAGTACACAGGCGCCTGCGGATGCTACTGCAACTCGGGTGCAGAGCATACCGGTCTTGCAGGGAGCACAATATTTATAGAGTTTTAATGGTTACATAAGTAACAGGCATTTCATTGGCTCATCTTGGGGGCAGGGGTAGTTCCCACGGACTAAGTTTCCTGGTATTACTTTATGAAAGACCCCAGCATGCGTCAGCAATTATTATCTGGGTCCCATGACTACTATGGTGATCATAGACACAACTGGGGGCAAGGGTAGTTTCCAAGGACTAGGTGTCCTGGTATTGCCACATAAAAGACCCTGGCACGCTTCAGCAATTATTATCCGGGTCCCATGACTGCTCTGGTGACCACAGATCCTGTTTGACATCCTGCCAGCTGGGCGAGGCACCTGGTCTGGGTTTCTTTCATTAGGCAATGGCCTGGCCTTGCTTTTCTTTTCCTAGGGGGTCCTGGGTAGGGGTCTTTCAGCTTGAATTTGTAGGTTTCTGTCTTTGGCCATTATGTATCTTCCTGGCTGAGTGGCTAACATGCCTCATTACCACTCCCTATGTGGCCTCTTCTAATACAACAGGAGAACCCGGTTATGATGGGGAGAATGGCAGGATAGCCAACCCTGAATCTCCACCAGGCCTTGTGATAGTACCACAGAGAAGAGGAAGACAGGTACCTTGGTCCTGCAGTGTCTATAAGGTTTTCCATTGACATTTTAGGTCTTGTCCCTGTTGATCGGGATAAAATCCTGTTCCCTTCTCAGCCCTCTCTTGACACTACTCTAGTACCAGTGTCAGAGTAGCTCATTGAAGCTTCTAGAGAGTTAAGTCCAGGTTTCCTGTTTGGCCTAAGCTAATGATAGTAGGGATATGGGACATTGGAATTCTCTTTTTTGTGTAGTTTTGTGTGTGTGTGTGTGTGTGTGTGTTTTGTTTTGTTTTGGTTTTTCCAGACAGGGTTTCTCTATGTAGCTTTGGAGCCTATCCTTTGACTTAATCTATAGACCAGGCTGGCCTTGAACTCACAGAGATCCACCTGCCTCTGCCTCCTGAGTGCTGGGATTAAAGGCGTGTGCCACCAACGCCCAGCTACTTTGTTTTTTTTTTTTTTTTAACATTTCTAAGGTTTATTTATTTATTACATATACACTGTTCTGCCTACATGCCAGAAGAGAGCACCAGATTGAATTGTAGATGGCTGTGAGCCACCATGTGGTTGCTGGGAATTGAACTCAGGACCTCTGGAAGAGCAGTCAGTGCTCTTAACCTCTGAGCTATCTCTCCAGCCCCCTTTGTTTTCATTTTTAATGGTGATGTTTGCTGGTAGAGTAGTGGGTGTGGATGTGGAAGGGGTATGTGGGTGTGGGTGTATTTCCTGTATTTTGCTGATCATTTGCTGGTGTTTTGGTTAGACTAGGCTTGGGTGGGGGGGAGTCTTGTTTTTTCTGATCCCATTTGCAGGTTGCCAGCTTCTCCAGTTTGGAGTCTATAAAACAGAAAGCACATAGTTTGTCCCTGTGTTTCTTGATCCCAAGGCCCCTGGCCAGTCTTGCTTGTTTTCTTAGATTTCCTTTATATGTGTGTAGAGAGTGGATAAAGAAAACGCACATCTGCAGAATGGTGGACGGGGTTTGTAGAGGTCTGCTGCTTTGACTGTCAGTGACGCTTAACACTCATGCAGTCCTGATCTACCTGACACTATTAAAGGCACCCTCTGAAGTAAACGCAGTTGTGGTTTTCATTAATCATTACTTCAGAGAAAGCTGGGCTGTAACATGTAGAATGAGACCAAAATAGCTTTCCCTTATGTATGACTTTGCAAAAATGTCAGTAGTTATAAAACTAAAATCAATGGGGGTGGTGCAGTACTCTCATGGTCGTGAGTGGAATTATGGAGTGTTTGGTGATTTAATCAAAGTGACTCTCCTGGGGCTAAAGAGACTGGTTCAGGGGTTAAGAGTGCTTGCTGCTCTTTGAAAGAACCCAAGTTCAGTTTCCAGCACCCATATGCTAACTCACAGCTCTATAACTGTCCTATTCAAGTTCAAGGCCAGCCTGGTCTATAGATCAAGTCCCAGTATAGGCTCCAAAGCTACACAGAGAAACCCTGTCTCAAAAAAACAAAAAAAGAGAAAAAAGAAAAGAATATATAACTCCTGTGACTTTGTTTGGGAACTATGAGTACCTTTCATGAGCCAGTGTTGATTTAATCATAAATAAGACTTACTAAAATCAATTGTCAACAATTGATAGAACCTTTGTAATACATATATTAGTAGCACAGATTAAATTGACAACCAATAGGATAGTCATGAAAATTTGGAACAATTTAAGAATTTCTTTGGTTTCTTAAATCCTTACTATGAAAGGGACTTTAGTAAGTAGCTTTGCAGGACGGTAGAACACTGTCGTCTTATTGGAGATGTGACTAGACAGGGCCTGTGAGTTCCATAGCTAGCATTAAAAAACATGTGCAGGGAGATGGCTCAGCGGTTAAGAGCACTGGCTGTTCTTCCAGAGGACCCAGGTTCAATCCCTGGGGAATCTGACACCCTCATACAGACATACATGCAGGCAAAAACACTAATGCATGTGAAATGAAAATTTTTAATAAGTCATTATGATTATATATAGTTAGAAATTTGTAAAATATAGCTATCTAACTCTTTGGGTAGCTTAAAGATACATGTAGAAATTGACAAGTTTTTTTAACTTTGTAATTAGGTGATTAATAAATATACTTGAAGAATATGGCTGCACAGATACCAGAATCTGACCAGATAAAGCAGGTAAGATACTATAATTAAGGGAAAGGATCTTGGCTAGGCGTGGTGGTATGCACCTTTAGTCCTAGCACTCAGGAGGCAGAGTCGAACTGATCTCACTGAGTTCTAGGACAGCAGGGCTATGTAGAGACACTATCTCAAAGGGCAGTAGGGGTGGACCAGCCTAAGCTACATGATTGTAGGTGGAATTATCCTTAGATATTTATTCAAAATGAAGAGTATATGGGTGTAGCCGTTATTCCCCCAAACCATATTTTAAAACATTAAAATGTATGTCAGATGACATAAAAGCACTTCCTGTTCTGCATCTTGTTATGTTGCTGTGTTGGGCTCTGAGCCTTTAGACTCAAGTGGTTCTCCACCTCAGTCCCTTAAGTAGCCAGGGTATCAGCCATCACTCCACTGTAGCTGGCTGTAAAACTATGTATTGGACCAACAGGTGAGCAGAAAAGTACAACTAGAAAGTAAGACCATATGTTATACATTAAAGCTACTTAAGAATTAGCAAAGAATCCAAATGAAGGGAGGAGGGAAAGCAAAGGGTGTGACGTGATAGTCTTTCTGACTATCATTAAGTTTCAGTGTTTTGGCTGTAAAGCCCAAGTATTAAAGCACTTCTTCTTTGTAGTTTAAGGAGTTCCTGGGAACCTACAATAGACTTACAGAAAGCTGCTTTTTGGACTGTGTTAAAGACTTCACAACGAGGGAGGTGAAACCTGAAGAGGTATGAAAAGTATCCTCACTAAAATTTCCCCAAGGTTATCATAAACCACAGATTCCATCTAAGCATTTCATTTTGTTGCTGTTGGCTGGGCTACCATTTGCATGCCATTGCTTAGAAGAACCAAATCAGTCATGAACCGGTGACACCAAGATTAATGATGCCAATGTGAACTTGACAGTCACACTGCATCAAGGCAGATGCTTTATAGACCAAGTACCGAATGGCTGAGATGTATTCCACAGCAGATGTCCAGTATTCGTGTTCTAGTCAAGATGACAGTGCCAAAGAAGCTTGGCACAGCTCGGATCTGGCTCTGAGAATTTAGATTGTGAAGTGTGAATGTGGTGGCATGTAATACACAATAGACTAAAACCCAATTCTGGAGCCAGGTTGTAACGCACACCTTTAATCCAAGCATTTGGGAGGCAGAGGCAGGCAGATCTCTGAGTTTGAGGCCAGCTAAATGTTCATGCCAAAATCTAATTTGTTAGGTAATGTAACTTACAAAGTTTAGGAGCCATACCAAGTGTGATTTTTTTTTTTTTTTTTTTTTGGTTTTGAGACAGGGTTTCTCTGTGGCTTTGGAGGCTGTCCTGGAACTAGCTCTTGTAGACCAGGCTGGTCTCGAACTCACAGAGATCCTCCTGCCTCTGCCTCCCGAGTGCTGGGATTAAAGGCGTGCGCCACCAACGCCCGGCTGTGATATTCTTTTTTTAAAGGAATATGTTTTAGCTATTCCTTGCCAATTCCATACTTGTAAACAGTGGACCTTAATCTTAATACTTTATCTATAGCAGTACAATTTATAGCAGTACAATTTACATATTAAATAACACTAAGTGGAATGTTTTGATGTGATTTTTTTTTAACTTTTTTTTTTTTTTTACAATTTTTTTTTGTTTTTTCAAGACAGGGTTTCTCTGTATTGTTTTGGAGGCTGTCCTGGAACTCACTCTGTAGACCAGGCTGGCTCGAACTCACAGAGATCTGCCTGACTCTGCCTCCTGAGTGCTGGGATTAACTTTTTTTTTACAACTTATTTAACCTTTATATGCATTGGGGTGAAGGTATCAGAAATTCCAGGCTGGTCTTGGCTGCATAACAAGACCTTGCTCAAGAGAAAATTAAAGGGTGTGAATTAAGAATATGCAAAAAACAAGTTTCTCATTAAAAAGGAAGAAGCCTTCTACTGGCTATGCATTTATCAGTCTAATTCAGAAGGTAGGACTGTGGGCCTTCAGTTAATAGGAAATCTGGCCCAGACCTTTCAAGAAGGCAGAGCACATCATTGCTTCTGATGCCTACAGACTAGTAAGGATTTCATAAGCTGTAATTGCAGCCAACTACAGCTTATGAAAGCATAAAGAGTTTAAAGCTATGATTATTGCAAGCCAAGAATAGCATCCGTTTTTGCAAACCTACCTTAAGAAAAGCAAAGTTCCCAGTGGTGACTTTTCAGAGTACAAGAATGTTTATTTCTGTGTTGCCTTTTGGACCTTTCCCTTGTATTTCTAGGTTACCTGTTCAGAACATTGCTTACAGAAATATTTAAAAATGACACAGAGAATATCCATGAGATTTCAGGAATACCATATTCAGCAGAATGAAGCCCTAGCAGCCAAAGCAGGACTCCTGGGCCAGCCCCGGTAGAGAAGCCCCAGGCACAGACTTGCGTTGAGATTGCCAGCAGCTGTTGCACTGAAATGGGGGTTCACCTGGGAGACCCTGAAGCACAGCAGGAGAGGTGGTAAGCCATCTGTCGTGACTGCCCGACCAATGGAAACCACTGGAGAAACAGAATCAATCTTCACCAGAAAGACTCAAACAGAAGGCCTTACTGTTGAGTGAAAATGGTAAGATGCAACATTGTTGAGGCCTTAAGATTCAGCTGATGGTCACCTTGATTACAAAAATAAACCACTGTTCCTTTCTTTGTGACTGTTAATTTTAAAAGCAAAAATGTGTCCAATCATGTATGAGATAGAAAAACTTTATTACTAAAAGTAAAATAAATGCAAATATCACTGAGCGGTTGTTTTTACTATACAGAACATGGTATTCTGTCTGGGTTGGGATACACTGAGATGTTTCAGTCAGGATCATCCTTCAAGCACGTCTCTTCATACATGTCTGCCTCAAGTTGCTGGTAAACACAAAACAGTTACTTAGCATTTCAAGACACGAGTATTTTTTCCTTGTTTCTCTTGTCACATTAGATATTACACAGTCTTATCTTGGCTGCATTTTAATAAACCTTTAGGGAATATCCTTTTTGAGACTAGAGACCAGCTCAGAAATGTTTCTGACTGTCATGCTCTAGTACAGTCTTACAGATTTTTTTTAAAACTGGGGGTCTAGGCTAGTGAGGGCTCAGCAGTTAAAGGCACTTGATTCCACGCATGACAACCTGAGTTCCGTCAGCAGCAACCACGTGGTGGAAAGAGCTGACTTACCCGATTGCCTCCTGCCCTCCACATGTGTGCCATGGTGTCTGTGTGCATGCATTCACACACACACATACCCCAACAAATGTTTTGAGTGTAAATAATAACATACAGCTATGATGAGCAATTAAGTAAAAGGAACCAAAGTTAAATTTGTATCTTATGACTAATGAATTCTGAAGCAAATTGAAGCATTTGCAGAATACTCTGGCTGATAAGTGTAACTTCTTTGTTTTTTAACTGAACTGGCAAAGGGAAGAGCTTCTAAATGGCTTTATTTGCTACCAAGCGGAAGTCACATTGCAGAGCACTGTTAGCCTGTGTTTATTCGCAGAGCTATTTCTGTGTTTTGTCACGTTAGTGAGGAGTGCCATTCTGCTTTGAAGTTGAAATGTGAAAACATAAAGTACACATTTCGATGTAGTAGAACACAGAAACTAAGCTAGTCTTACCCTAATCAAAGAAGAGAACCAGAAATAGATATGCTTGAGAACCTTGGGAGTCCCCACCCATAGTCATTATTTCTCTGCAGTCAAGTCCCCTGTGGTTATATAATGTTTCCCAAGGATAATTAAGTATGTGCTCACCTGGCAGATAAGGGGAATTTTGTACAATAGCATCTGAAATACCTCAGGAGGGAGGGAGTGTTTGAAAAATGTCAGAAGCTCCTTCGGTTGCCCACACACTAAAAGGGCATTGGTGAGATGTTCAACTCCCATTCCATGCTCTCCTGAAACAGATTGGTACATGTTAAGCAAAAAAAAAAAAAAGGGGGGGGGTAATTGTTTTTAATAGCTGTGTGTTGGGGGGGTGTCAGTGTGTATGTACGCATGAGTACAGTGCCTGTAGTAGCCAGAAAAGAAGTTGGATTCCCTGGAACTAGAGTTGTGAGGCATCATTACTCTCCATCAGTTGTCCCTTATCTAGGTGCCAGCAGATTCTTCTCTCTGGTAGTGCCCACACCGGCATTAAGACAATTAAGACACCATACAATGTTTGTGCAGGGTGCATATCTCCTACTATCATTCTAACAATGCTATGAGGTCTTCTCAGGTGCTTCTAAATTAGGTGAAAGTTAAAACACGAGGTCATGAAATATAGGCCTCTACTGGCCCCACACTAAAACAGTACAATGGCCATTTGTAATTTTTTTAAATCATTGAACGTGTTTAGAATATTCAAATCAGAAAAAAACATTATTTTGTATTGTTTTTTGAGACAGGGCCTCTTTTTCTATGTAGGCCTGGCTATTCAGGTAGATCAGGTTGTACTTGAACTCAGAGAAATCCACCTGTCTCTGCCTCCCAAGTGAGGGATTAAAGGCATGTGTCACCACGAGAAAAATTTGTTATAATAAATACATTTTAGGTGGGTTTTTTAGACACTGTAACCTGGGCTGGCCTCAAAGCCACAGGTGTTTCCACTCTGCCTCTTGAGTTCTAAGACTACAAGTATTACAAGTGTGTTCTCCCATACTCAGGTTAGAAGTTTTGTTTCTTAAAATTTGATAATTTAGGAATTTCATTTACTGAGATTTTTAAATGAAGTTCAACTTCTTGGTATCTGCCTTTGTTTCCCTCCTGACCTGCTTCCAAGATTCAACATAGCAATGCTAACTCAAGCGGGGAAAGTAGCACCAAGTCAAGATTTGGAGACAGCTGCTGTTACTGCGGCTGCAGCTGCCTTTTTTTGGGGGGGGGGGGGGTTCCGATACAGGGTTTCCCTGTGTAGCTTTGGAACCTGTCCTGGAACTCACTCTGTAGACCAGGCTGGTCTACAAAAACTCACAGAGACCCACCTGCCTCTGCTCCTGAGTGCTGGGATTAAAGGCGTGCACCACCACTGCCCGGCTGAGACAGCTTCTTCTAATGAAATAAGTTGATTACCACACCCAGCTAATTTACCTGATATTATCAGCCAGTGCTTCCGGTTTACTTTCTTATATAATACTCCTGGCAAGGCTCACACTCAATCCTTCTGCCTCTGCCTCCCAAGTACTGGGTTTATAAGCATATGGCACCATGCCTGGCTAATCATACAGTTTTTGAAGAAAATTATTTAAAATTTACGAAACCCCCAGGGTGGTGTCCCACACCCTTAGTCCTAACACTCAGAAGGAGAGGCAGTCGGATCTCTGAGTTTGAGGCCAGCCTGTCTACAAAGTGAGTTCCAGGACAGACAGGGCTACATGGTGATACCATGCTTGGAAAAACAAAAAAAGAAAAAGAAAAAAAACCTTAGAAAAGAATGTTTTTATTCTTACCTCTAGCTAAACAAAGTTTTCCCATCTGCACCTCTTGTAAAAAAAATTCTTGTAGTTTTTCCTTCTTTGCTGGCTCCCATAACTAAAGGATTTATAAAATATGTAACAATGAGTAATGAATGTAAGCTATACATTACTGTCAAAATAATAAGTACCTCTTAACAAATAAATACACACATTTAAAAGAAGTGCCTCTTATGCCAGGCTGGTGGACATACCTGTATTCTCAGCACTTGGGAGGCAATGGTAGTGGACAGAGCATTGTGTTTAGAATGTTGCAGACCAACCAAGACTACGAGATGTTCTATCTCAAAGATAAAGTGCATAAAAAACACCTCTTAAATCTGATCTCTAGATTCAGTAGATGACAAATGTTCCTCTAATCATTTCAGGTGACAAGATAAAAGCATGGCATCAGTTAGGTAGAGATGCTCACAGTAACAGGGTTTATTGTAGCCCTCCCCCCCTTTAGCAGCAGACCTTGGTATTGACACAGTGAAGGTAGCATTGTCAGTTGAAAAATCATTTTCTTGTCTGGGTTAGTTAGTGGCAGAGCCTGTTAATTTAGCAGTAGTGATTTTCTAGACTGTGGAGTCATTTTTGCCATTTGCTTATAATTCCTAACCAATAAGCTAACCTATGGCTTCTACACTCACACACTCTCAGAGAGAGGGGCAAAGCACATGTTTTGGGGGTGGGATGGCATGGTGGTTGGTGACTGGCTAGAACTCTGGTTTGCTGCAACCTGTTTCAGGAAGACAGCCAAGGCCACAGATGACATCATGAGGCCTACTATGCCTTGGGCTGGTCTTTCAGGCAGGCCTGAGAAGGGATCACCTTAGGTCAGTTCAAATGGGAAGCATTAATGACGGGAGGTTTTCCTGGGTACCGGTCTAGAGAGCACTGGCAAGAGACCCTTGAGCCCAGCCCTTCTTCATAGTCTAGAAAAGGACTGGAAACACGTCCTACGCTAAGTCTAATGTGCTTTGGAGCTCAGGTAAGAAACATGACTTTTGGGTGGAGAATCAGGAATGGGTCCTCAGAGAAGAGCACATGAGATGTGAAGAAAACCAACTAACCTTTGATAGACACATAAGCAATACAGAATGTCAGGGAGCCAACCGGGGCATCGTTAGATTACACCCAATGAATATAACCAAAATACCAACAGCCAATTGCGGAAGGCCAGCTATGGAATAGAACTTTTGCATATATTATTAGTCACACTTAGGAAGATAGGCAACTCTATAGAAAGTGGTGTGTCAAGGTGCAGCTGAACCTTCGATTTGCAAGATAGGAAGTTAGTATGAGGAAGTCCCTAAGTAAGTACGGAAGAAATGGAAATGAGAATGGAGTATGAGGCAAAACACAGAAAAATAAGAATATAATATTGACTTTGGAAGGTGAGGTGGTGGTTGTTCCAGGACAGGATCCAAAAGCTACACAGAGAAATCCTGTCTCAAAAAACCATAAGTAGGGCTGGAGAGATGGCTCAGAGGTTAAGAGCACTGGCTGCTCTTCCAGAGCAACCACATGGTGGCTCACAACCATCTGTAATGAGATCTGGTGCCCTCTTCTGGCCTGCAGGCATACATGAAGTGCTGTATACATAATAAATAAAGTCTTTAAAAAAAACAAATAACATTTAAAAATTAAAAAAAAATGATCCTGCTCAGAAATCATCAGTGGTTTCCTACTACATCTGGATCCCTCAGCCCGGGCTTCCACCCAAGCCCTCGCCCTCTCTGCTTCTGTCCCTGCTTAGCTCAACTTTACCAGACACTGTTCTTCACAGTGATTCCTTTGCCAAAATGACCTATTGATCTGGCTTGCCATATTCCCTATTTTGCATCCCTATGCAAGTGCAACACCTTGAGTCCTAAAGGCTTCCCTGATATCATACCACAAATTCAATATTATTCTTCATTCAGATCAGCAACAGCCCCAAAGCCTTACATAGAAAAATTGCATTTCCCCAAAATATTCCCCATCTCAACATCTCTTTGCAGAACTGTCTCTCTGTCACGAGCTGGAGTCTATCTCCTCTCTGCTTGAAATGGAGCGGTCCTGGGGGCTATGAGCAGAACATTCTCCTGTCTCTGCATGTACTCCAATACTACTGCTGTTCTCTTTGTGTTCAATGCATATAGAGTATCTCTACCTGCCTGTCTACCCCTGGGAACCCAAACCGGTTCCACTAGCTGAACACCCAGCAAATGTGAGGAAACATGCTTTTGGATGACTGGCCCACAATATCGCCCTGGAGCCTGCCTCACCCGAGTAGAGCAAAGGTGTCATTCAGCTTCAGAGATTCAGAAGCCAAGGGTTATTTTACCGACAATAAGCTTAGCCAAACTGAATAGCCGCTGTACTGATTCCACACTGAAAATGCTGTCTTTCTTTAGGATCTTGTGTTGGCTTTGTCCACTGCCTTGCTTTGTGGTTATTCTTTTTTTTGGGGGGGGGGTTTGAGGTAGGATCTCTCTGGCTTTGGAGGCTATCTAGCTCTTGTAGACCAGGCTGGTCTCGAACTCACAGAGTCTCGAACTCACAGAGTCTCGAACTCACAGAGATCTGCCTGTCTCTGCCTCCCGAGTGCTGGGTTTAAAGGCGTGCGCCACCACCACCAGGCTCTTTGGGGTTATTCTTACACCCGTGTTACTGTTGTCTCTGCCAGACCTCCCTTAGTGCCTCACACATAATCGGACCTTAGCCAGGCACCTGAACGATGGAAAGGTATTCTTGCGCTTTCGAGCTCACGGGAGTTAACTAAAGCTGGATCAATAACCAAGGTAACCAAGTTCTCTTGTAAAATTGTTAATGGGGGATGGGGCTGAAGAAATGGCTCGGTGATTAAGAGCACTGGCTCTTCTATAGGTCCGAGGTTCCATTCCTGGAATCAACAAGGCCGTTCACAACCTTCTGCAACTCCAGTCCCCCGGGGATCAGATGCCCTCGTCTAACCCCCACAGGCACCAGGTAACACGTTGTGTATACAGGAAAAATATCCGTGGGCATTAAGATAAAAGGAGGAAATAGATAAAATGACTAATCCAGGACAGTGAAATGGCTCAACAGTAGAAGCCAAACCTGACCACCTGGGACCCCCTCAGGTTGTCTTCTGACCTTCCTAGGCCACCCTCACCCCGTCTAAAAACATAACAAAGACCATAAAACTCACTCAACTAGTCAAGTCAGTCTTACTCCTTGTTGGCCTCCCTGGGGACCGATGTATCCTGTGAGGATATGTGGGAAAGTCCAGGTTTCTCTTTCTTCCAAGTAAAAAAAAAAAATGCCTGTTTACTTTACAGACGCCTTTCTTTTTTTGATAGTGTTTTGTTTGGCCCAGGCTAACCTCGAACTCCTTCCTGTCTCAGCCTCGCAATTGCTGATCCTGCACACGTGTGCATCAAGTCCTGCTCATACTGAAAAAACAAAAAGAACGCAAACAAAACACCTCCTTATTTTTTATATGTATTTTGCCATCATATATCTGCGACCATGCGCATGCCTGGTGTCCCTTGGAGGCCAGAAGAGGGCGTAGGACCCCTGGGCTGGGTTACTGACGGTTTGTGAGCCATCATGTGGGTGCTGGGAATCAAACCTGCAGAGTGCTCTTAACCACTGAACTATCTCTCTACCCATCAGACTGTTTCCTTATCAGACCAACTTCCCCCTTCTTTGCTTCCCCTTTGTAAAGAAGGTTAAAACTTTTTAAAGCAGGTGTCCAGCACTGGCGCGACTCCCCTTGGGCTTCTAGAAGGCTCCTTGGCGGGTCTGTTGCACTTCACCTGCCTGGCCCACGCCTGGGCCTTGGACTGTTCAGCTCTTCTCTCTGCAAACACAGACGTGGTGGCGTGGGTCGGGGTGCCCGGGGCGCCGGCCTGGGGACCGGTCTGGGCTCCACCACCCTCCCTCCCGCCGGCCACGCTGGCACTCACGGTCCCGCAGGCAGCTCCGGAACGCCGGGTCTCTGCGTCTCCTCCGGTCCACGTAGACACAGTAACCGAGCAGGGCGACAGCCCCACTTGCCGCCAGGGCTGCCAGGAGCCCGACGCGGAGGCGGATGCTGGGCATCGGGCTGCCCAGCGAGCGTTGGGCGCGGGCCGGCCACACGTGAGCAAACCCAGGGCCCCGAACCCAGGGCAGCAGGTCTTGGAATTCCGAGCCTTCTCCAGACAAGACCCACTCCCGAGGCCGGGGCATGCTGGCCTCCTTAGGCTGCTTGGTTTCCCTTGTACTTTAGTTGGTCGCAGGTGAGTGTGGGTTATCTCAGCCCAGGCCTGGCTGCCCAGCTTGCTCTCTTGCAATCCATCCACCATAACTCAGGAGAGGGAAAGAATTCTGAAGCAATATTTGGTCTAGGAGACAACAAGCAAACAAAATTGTTACTTTGTTGGTGCTTTTCTTATTACATGTTTGCTGTATTCAGCGAACACAGCAAAAGTATAGGCAGGTTTTTGTCTCACTTATCATAAACCAGATAAAGACAAAAAAAAAAAACCCTAAATTTTGCTGTTTTTTCTTTTTACTTACATGTACGGAATGTTTTGCCTGAATGTATGTGTGCCACGTGCATGCCTGCGGGGGTCAGAAGAGGGTGTCTGATCTCCAGGAATTGGAGTTACTGAAGGTTGTGAGCTACCACGTGGGTGCTGACAAACTCCGGTCCTCTACAAGAGCAGCAAGTGTTCTAAACCACTGAGCCATCTCTTCCTGGCCTGTTTAATTTTCAAGTGTCTATGTAGCTAACCCATGTGGCCTGGAACTCTCCATCCTCCTGCCTCAGGTTCCAGAGTACTTAAATAGTTCTTGTTGTGGATTATTCAACTGTTATCTACTAATCTGCTACTTAACTAGCATTATTATTACCACAGCAAGGCAATCCTAATTGCTCTAATACCAGTGGGGTTGAGAAGTAGCCTTGGCCCTTAGTCTTAGCCTTACTGGATGTTACACACAACTTTCATGAGTAGTATTTATTCTTCCTATGCTAACTTAAGTCTTCTAGTTGGGAAGTTTATTGTTATGAAAACCTGGCTGGCCGGATGGTAGTGGTGCACACCTTTAATCCCAGCACTCCAGAGGCAGAAGCAGGTGGATCTCTGTGAGTTTGAGACCAGCCTGGTCTACAAAGAGCTAGTTCCAGGACAACCTCCAAAGTCACAGAGAAACCCTATCTTGAAAAAAAAAAAAACCTGGCTGTAAACATAAGACAATGTCATGATCCGATGTTACACAATTGTGTGGCAAAGATTTTCCTGGGGAGACACAACACACACACATATACTCACTTCAGATAGGGGGCCCGTGAACCGCCAAAGTATGGATATCAGCAAAGTCCAACTTGGTGAACCAGAAATGACTTGAAGACAGATGAATCACCAAGGCCCACCCCACAGGAACCTAGAGTACACGGCCGGCCTGCAGGCAGCTCAATAGGTTGGAGTGTCCCTTCAAGGCAGCTTGGGTGTTCTGTTTCTTCCAGGCACTGGTCTGGTCTGAGTCCTCCTTGCAGCTCAGCTTCGTTCATTCTGAGGAGGAAGGGGCCTAATGAATCTAGTCACATTGCTGGGGGTTCCAAACTCAGGTCCTCAACGTTTACAAACCAAAACACTTTCCCTAGTGGGCCATTTCCCCAGCCCCCAGGGCTGACTTTTGATTGAGATCCCCGAGTGCTGCTGTTAGCTCCAAGGTGTTTGTAAGGCTGACTATAACCTCTCCCACCATATCCCTACCTACCTTCCATTGTAGTCCTTCACTGATCTGCATGGCGAGTCTAGTGTGAGAGAGCTGTGTGGGCCAGACACATGTTCAGTGGAAAGTGAACAGCCACATAACAAGGAGGGACAATGCCAGCTGGTGGCATCAGTGGTGGTGGGTGGTGGCGCAAGCCTTTCATCCCAGCACTCGGGAGGGAGTGGCAGGTGGGTCTCTGAGGAGCTTGAGGCCAACCTGGTCTACAAAATGAGTTCTAAGACAGCCAGGACTACACAGAGAATCCCTGTCTCAAAAAAACAAACAAAAAGGAGGGACTACTACCACAGAAATGAGAACTGAACAGTATCACTGAAAATCACCAGAGATCATGAAGAAAACGGCGAGAAAAAAACTCAGGCAAGTCTTTAGGGTAAACACAGGTATGTGCTCTCAGATACAGCACCAGTCTTGCTAAGCTGGTGACCACCATCCCTCAAACTAAGACTGTGTTAACAGTAGCTCCCAAAGCATGGTCCTGAATAATAGCTGTCCTATTGAACAGCTCTAAAGAAATGGCTGACACACACAGTAGAGTACACATATTTAAAGTATACAACTAGCTAAGTGCTGACATACATATACAGCCTGAAACTACCACCAAAGCCAAGACAGCGGCCAAACCCACCCTTGCTGTGCCGCCTCCTTCAGTCCTGGTACTGGCAATTTGTACCTTCCTCCAGTTCAGTGGTTCTCAACATGCAGGTTGCGACCCCTCCGGGGATCAAATGACCCTTTCACAAGGGTCGCTTAAGACCGATTCATAACAGCCACAAAACTACAGTTATGACATAGCAACAGAAATATATTATGGATGGGAGGGTCAGCATCACAAGATGTGTTAAAGGGCCAAGGCATGAGAAGGTCTAAGAACCACTGCTCTAGATCTTGGGTAGCTAACAAGAAGTTCATAACTTTCATCTGCCCGCTCAAAGATCACTTTTGAGTATAGTATTGTCACAGTCCGTTCATTCCCTTGAACTACTCTGCTGGAGTAGTATATGACATACAAAGACACTCTATTAATATGTTGGACCAGAAAAAAAAGAAAAGAAGTACTGATTTCTGCAAATAAAACTCCTTTTATTAGTAGCAGTCTGTTGTAGACACCAGTAGTTTCCATGTCTTTTACACCATCACTTCAGTAAAATTAGCTATAACCCAACCAAATAACAAATACCAGTGATAGCAATTTTGATAAGCTGCAACGTCTATTACAAACAGTGCTACAACATATCCGTGTCCTTTTAGATGGATACAGTGAGAACTACTACAGAATAAATTCCTAAAAGTGGGCTATCTTGATAAAAGTATATGTGCATTTTAAGTATCAGCAAGATATTACCAAAATACCCTCCCTGAATACATGTTTACATTTAAGCTCCCATTATACTGAAAAGATTTCAGAAAATGCCACTTAGAATTCTGCATATCCTTTGACCTATAAACTAGTTTCATAAATTTATGCGACTGGATTTTATGTAATCGGTAGTTAAGATGGCTAGAAGTTAGAAATAAGGCTCTCAAAAACATATTAAGAAATATGCAGTACAGTGAAGTAAAAAATAGTCATTTAAGGCCGGGCGTACGCCTTTAATCCCAGCACTTGGGAGGCAGAGGCAGGTGGATCTCTGTGAGTTCGAGACCAGCCTGGTCTACAAGAGCTAGTTCCAGGACAGCCTCCAAAGCCACAGAGAAACCCTGTCTCGAAAAACCAAAAAAAAAAAAAAAAAAAAAAAAAAAAAGTCATTTAATGTGGAGTAACTACCCCGTAATCCAAATGGTGTTCACAGTAGACAGTGAGTGAAAACAGCTAGGGTTAGGGTCAGTGACCAGGGGGCTGATGTGAATCCTCCAGCAGGGTGGCACTGTCACACCGCTGCGTCCCTTCTGGTGGCTGCTGACTCCTGAGCAGTTGGCAGGTTTCTCTTTTCATCCTTCTGCACCTTCAAATCTCTACGACTACCAACCTAACTGGCTGGATGTTGGTCTAAGCGTGGGTACCACTGTCTCCATCTTACTGTGGTCCTATTCCATGAAACAACTTAAATGATGTTTTACAGTACGACAGAAGAAATGGATTGGAACCAACTTTGGCAACGGTAAAGTAGTATGCTGTGTATGATCACAGCAGCGCCTCTGCATTCAATGGGCTGTCAAACTGTGAATGTGAAAGTTGTATGTGAATATATTGTATCGAGTCAGCACTTCTATAACTGTCAGTAGTGAAATAAAAACAATGTAAAACATCTATTGATGTTTAAAGCAGTTTTGTATTTCATTTTTTATTTATTTATTTTTTTTTTTTGGTTTTTCGAGACAGGGTTTCTCTGTGGCTTTGGAGGCTATCCTGGAACTAGCTCTTGTAGACCAGGCTGGCCTCGAACTCACAGAGATCCGCCTGCCTCTGCCTCCCAAGTGCTGGGATTAAAGGCGTGCGCCACCAACGCCCGGCCAGTTTTGTATTTCTATCAGTTCAAGACCAGCCCTAGTCTCACCGAGTGAGTTCCAGGGAACCAGGGCTACGTAAAGAGACCCTGCCTCAAAAAACTAAAAAAGAATGCTAGCCATTGAGAAGAAAGAATGGATTTGAAGTCAGAAGAAATGGCTTGAGCCTCAATTCTGTTATTTATTACTATCTTGACAACTTGGAAGCTGTTTTCTCGTATATCAAAACAAAACCGCGATGCCGTCATAGAACTGAGATAATATGGAGTGTCACCCCACCAGGGAATTTGTTCGTATTAAGCAAGATTCACTGGCTGCATTCACTCCCACCAGTTACTTTCATTTTACTGCCGACCATTTCATCGGGTATTTAAGTTGTTAAATTTATACTGTTATAACTGAGTTCGACAAACTGGGTCATTTAAAAAGGTTTATCTAGTCCAAGTTCTACGGCCCAGGAGGCTCAGTGGTTAAGGTCATATCTAATGGGCATTCGTGTGAGAAGGGAACTGGTGACACCCAGGTGATAGAGGGCACATACCAGAAAAAGCCAAGCCAGTGTAGTGGCGGAGGAGGAGGAGAGGGACACAGAGGGACCAGGGAGGAGATACGGGAGCAGGGTTGGGGATGCCCATATCCACGGATGCATGCTTTAAACCAGCTTTTAGCAGACTGACTTTCGGGATAACACCTTAATCCATGAACGGATGGACTTGCCAATTACACAGAGCCAGTGACCTGGAACATTCCATCTGGTCAGCGTCCTGAGCTCCGGGATTACAGGCTTATACCAACACATGCTGCTGTGGTGCCACTGCTAATACTTCATGGGAGGATTGATTTCAACATCAAATCTGGTTGTGGACATTCAAACTGGAGCAATAATAAAGGATAGAGAAGAATAGCACAGCATTCAGTTTATCAATTTTTACTGTAGAACCGCTTTAGCATTGTGTGTGTGTGAGTGTGTGTGTGTGTGTGTGTGTGAGTGTACACTGTGGGACCAGCAAATGCTCTGCACCTGCTTCTCCACGCCTTTCCTTTTGCTCTACTCTACCACCTTAAATTTGTTATTCATTTTTTATGTGTGTGTGTATATATATATATAAATTTGTTATTCATTTATATATACACACATGTATGAGAGTATATCCTCATAATATAATAAAATATACACGTTCTCCAAATATAAAATATGTGCATATGTGATTATATATGTATAGATAACACACATATATATAATCACACACACACACACACATTGTATTTGTACACAAGTTTCAGGTAGACCAGGCTGGCCTCTAACTATGTAGCCAAGATAACCTTGGATTTCTAATCCTTCTGCTTACACTCAAGGGCAGGGATGACAGGTATGTATTACATGCTTAGTCTCCAACTCCTGGTATTATATTTATACATACAAAATCAATGTGTTTTGAATATCCAAATCTTTTTTAACTGTTCTGTAATTTCCTTTAACCAACATGCCACGTCTTATTTATCCATTCTCTTTATTAACAGGCATTTGAGAGTTCCTTGGGGATAGAGTGTAGCTTAGTGGCAGAGGGTATGTTCAGCATGCACAAGGCCCTTGGGTCCAGTCCCTAGTACTGAAAACAAAAGGGTTCCCATCAGCACAAAACCATTAAGTGTTTGCAAAGTCTGAAGCCTGAACACACAGTCAGGGGCTCTATTTATATTACATAACTATCTGTCTGAAATTCAAATTTAACAGAATATCTCCTATTTTTATGTTTACTCTGGCAACTTTAAAAATTATACTTATTCATTTATTCATTATGTATGGAGGTCAGAAGTGAGAAAGTTGGTACTCTCTTCCTATCATGTGGGTCCCAGGCTTTGAACTCAGGTCTTCAGGCTTGGTGGCAAGCACCTGTACCTGCAGAGTCATCTCATTAACCCCTCCTCTGGCAGCTTTTGTTTTGTTGTTTTTCTTGACAGGGTTTCTCTGGGTAACGGCTCTAGCTGTCCTGGAAGTCATTCTGTAGACCAGACTGGCCTTGAACTCACAGAGATCAGCCTGCCTCTGCCTCCCCGAGTGCTGGGATTAACGGTGTGGGCCATCACGCCTGGCACTCTTTGGCAACTCTTAGCAGACAAGACTCTTAACTCAGATTATCTTGTTGGATTCAATTTAAGAAGAAAGCCAATTACTTACACATACATTCATTTATTTCAAACATAATGTTCCTTGAGCTTCACAACAGAGCTTTTCAAAATGACTTTTGCATAATACACAGTACAAAATGAACATAGCTTCATAATTATGTTAACTACAAATATCAAAATGATAAATACTGTTCTTAATTCTCTCTATAAATGAAGAGTATCTTGTGCTTGTCAACTGTGAACATATCATTAGAATTTGGGGTGGGGGAAGCAAGCTGAAGAATTGAGTATAGGGTACATACTTGGAGTCCCTAAGCTCA